AAACCCGGATTCTAGCGTTGTAAGTCCGCAGACATACCGCTGTGCTACTCAAAAAAGGTTGGTTGTTTATTCTCTTTTAGCGAAGTTATAATTACTCGGGAAAACATACCACATTACAGCTAAAAATTTTCATCTGCCAGATTTCTTTTCTTCGTCAACTGAATGTTATATAAGGTTTTGTCAAACATATAGCGTTTGAGAAATATATTAAAACTGCCGAGAAAAATAATGGATTATTTTTTCAAAATTTTAAATCATTTTGTGATTAGTATTTGTTTTTTCAACTTTACAGTTATTATTACTGTTAATGCGAGTAAAAAAGCTAGTCGAACATTCAAAATTCAATTCCACCAACAGCTCAGGGGTAAGCTTTGGTGTTACAATGCTATAACTCGGGTTCAACCACCGCAGTGGAAACAGCATAGATTGCTCATTGTGAAACTATGGTTTAAAGCAAAAACTAAAGTACAGCTCGTAAAGTATATTTTGCAGTTACCAGTGGGGTCGGAATGAACCAGAGCAATTTTCTTTCTTTTTTCACTCTCTTTTTATTAAAATAACTACAAGTAATTGTAACATGAACTGAAGCTGTAGGTACAGTATTTTATAGGATTAAACTTGTATACTTAAAATAACATATAAATATATCAATTCTACTTTTATGACTCAGATATGCCAGTTGGTTGTGTGATGTCTGGTAATTATAAATAGATTAGATGCATGAAATACAACCTACATGTGCATGTATAATTTAATAACTGGACATTTATTAGGATTATCACTACACCATACAAAATGATAAAAACTCTATAACCCGAGCGCTTTCGAAAAGTGGACCTTTCTTCTTCAGGGGCAAACTGAAAAAAAAAAAAGATTCCCAGTTTCCCCATGAAGAAGAAAGGTCGAAAGTCTCTGGTTATAGGGTTTTGTATCAAGACTTATTGAACCTACGTGTTTTTCTGACACCATGAATCACTACACCACAGGTAGTGTTAATGCATAGTCTAACCTTGGTACATATGCCACGAGTACACCACTTTTCATAAAAAGATAAATATTGTAATGAAATACTCTGTCCGCAAACGTAAGCGACGTAGAAGAATTGAGTTAATTTGTTTGCTTACTTTATAAGCTCCCCCCCCCCCTCCTCTAGTGATTCAGCGATAAGTCTCAGGATTTATTATGTTAAAAATCGGGTTTCGATATCCGTGATGGGCACAGCACCAGTGGCTCATTGTGTGGCTTTGCGCTTAACAACATACAAATATAACTGGCTGGTTCTAGCTATAAAGAAGATAAAGCTTCCTTGAGAGACGCTTCCCGAAAGGAATGTATATGAAACAAATCATGTTGCGATTTCAATGCCGAAAGGAGGCGAAGCACCTATGAGTTGAAATCTGGAATAAATAAATAATATGAAAAAAAGTGTGGTTTTCGTGCTTTTCGGGTTATTAAAAACAAATCATGTTCTTAATATATTAATATATTATTTGAAAGCGCACAAAATTAAATGGGTGAATTTTAAACTATTCTTATTATAACAATATAAAACTTTAGAAACTTGTTATTTATGTTTTTAATTAGTTGCGAGAGGCAAACTTAAATAGTCATTCTTAATAAAACTTAGTGTACTTAAAGTAATATATTTTATGTTAGAAAAACTCGTTATCTTTTTATAATTTCATGAAGCTTAGTTAAAAGCAAATTGACATTATGCTTCCACCAGGAAAGAAGAATTATAAAAAAACGAGCACAAAGTAGCCAGCTATATAAAATTCAATCAAGATTCTCCTTTTAGTTCTCGACAAAAAGAAAAAAAAGTTTTATGAAGATGAATCCAAATTTGGTCAATAAATGTAAAATGAGTTTTCTAAATTATAGTGATGGGATATGTTTCTCACCTTTAGTTTAAAAAAGTCAAGATAACATTGAAAGTCATCAGCTACGTGGAGGAGGTAATAGGATTTGAATAACTTCTATCAGAGTTAGTTTGCAGAATACTAAGTCACTGAGAATCAGCTTTTACCTTTAGTGTTGAATTATTATAGTCTACGTTGTTGATCAGAATTTAAGTTCTTAACTTTGTGTTAAGGGTGCAATTTTTACAAGGTATTTATAATATTTTTTAAATATATTCAAAGCATATACTATTTCTTAAAAATGAAAAAAATTCATCAGAATTATGTTTTTCAATAAAAAATTTTATTTTGCAGATTTATTCTATTTTCAATAACGAAATCAATAAGCAGCTTACATAACAGCTTCTTTGAAAAGAAAAACTGTATGATGTATTAAAACAAACTAAATGCCCAACAATTAACTTGTATATCAATTGCTTCTCAAATCCATGGGAAATGTAAAAGTTTTGTCTGGCGTTCCTGGGTCAGACAATGGCTCCCCAGTCTGAGTGTCTCTTGGTTGAATAGGATACTCGTTGGTACGGATCGAAGATTCCATTCCTCGAATCCCTCTGAATACACCTTTAGCTCGGAACACTAAACCGTCACCATTTTGTTTAAATAAATCATTTTGAAGCATATAGATTGGGTGGAACCAGAGCCAGTGTCCTTCCCACTTCTCATGGAACCATATAGCAATCCAACCGTCAATATAGACATCAGCTTCCCAAGGCACTTCTACCTCTCGCTCCACAATTATCCATTCTGCCTTCACTGAAGTTTTGGGTTCAATATTCAACGTATAGGAAAATGTGAAGGTATCAATATCACTTGTTATCTTTCCTTGACTTTCAGTTAAGTCTATTTCGGTGGTATTGGTCGTATCTTTATCGTAGAGCTTTGGAATTCCTCCTTTTGTAGTTACACTGGCCTTAATGTTAATTCCTTGTTGTATAGACCAGTGAAATGTGGATTGATGTTGTATCTCCTTCGTTATTTGTGTGGTAATAACTTGTTTAGCCTGGTCATTGTGGTACCACTTGGTATAGACAGACTGTGGTCTGTCTACCTGTCTAGTCACCGTGGAGTATTGGACATCACCTGCTCTAACTTCAATCTTGTACCTATAATATCAGAATAAACTTCTTCCACACATCCAATATGATTGATTTACTTATTAGTTACTCCAGTTTACTCCAAGTTAAATTAAGATAATAAAAAGGAGCCTGATTTTAAGAATTATCTTATAAGTCCTGAGAAATAAGTTGTAGTTCATTCAAATTTTTACAGAGCTTCACGAAGGTCAGCCTTTACCGTAATACAAATCCTAACCAGGTATATTTCTAAGTCTCAACAGTATTTAGAAATAAATACAACTTAAAGATAGCCGCTTATGTTCACAACTCAAACAAAACTCATTCACAATCACAACTATGAGTATTCAGAAGCATACATAAAAATATTCACTACAGTTCACAGTAGCAATACTCATGTACAGTCCTACATTTAACATTACTCCGAATTCTACTGAACGCTAATAATGCTCATTTATTTATGGTCTCTCACAAAATTAATAATACTCACGTACAAATCACAGTACTAAAACCTACAAATGGTACAGAAGCAATCGCATTTCTCAGTAAAGGCATTTGCTTCTGCCAGTTCTATTACGACAAATAATTGGATTGATATTATCAAAGTCAAATATTTTTAACTGAGAGTTTTTTCGTGAAATTTAAGCAGTTGTAAGTAACTCCAGTCTTTATTTGGACATTTTAAAAATCAAAATTGCAGTAGTGAAATTAATATACTTACCAAAGTATGAAACTGTAAACCTAGTTATAACGGGTTATTAAATGAAAATATATTTTATGTGTGTGTGTGTGGGGGGGGGGGTATTTATTTGCATATATTCATAATAAACACCAACCTGTGGTATTCTGGTCTCTCTTTAAGGTGTTGATGGTTACCATAGAGATCCCACCACGACACCTTGCGGTTTTTCTCCCTGGCCTGTTGATTGACATACTCTTTGGCCCATTTATCAAAATCTGCCATCAAGGTACTGCGAACATGGCGTTGTACTGCTTCTAAGAACGAGCATAAAAATAACATTTAATGCGTAATCAACTGGCACCTTTACATGTAACAATAATCAGTAAAAGTAACTGCAAATAAATAAGTATTTATAGTACAGTCACTAGTATTTCTAAGAGGTCTAAAGGAGATTCTATAAATTTTGTTTTCCTGCAAATTTCTAAAATAAACTGTTTTTTTTTTATTAACAATGTGAAACGTTGTCTAAAAATGTAATTATATTTCTCTGATACACTTGCCAAAGTTACCGCAATTAAGTAGTTTTGTAAATTTACTCATTAAAAACTCGAACTGAAAATATTAGTAACTATATCATGGAAAAAAATTGCTGGAAAATTTAGACGGAACAATAAATTAAGCCTAAATGAAAATGTTGACTTCAAATACCATTATTATTATAATTCTACACCATCGTTGATTTCCATATCAATGGTTCGGTTTGCTTGTTGTTAAACTTAAGCTACACAACGTTAATCTATGCTCTGTCCACCACGGGTATCGAAACCCGGTTTATAGCGTCGTCAACCTGCAGACTTCCCTCTGAATCGCTAAAGACCCACATTAAAGTATAGTAATAATAATTTCAAAATATCAAAATTTAAATATTTTTTTCTTATTTTCCTAGGTAAGATTTGAAAGTTTGATTTCATGTTCATGAAAGAATAATTATACTGAAAATGCTTGTTTCTTGGAAAAACACAAGAAATCAAATATTTATATTTTAAAAAGTAAGGACGTCTAATTGTAAACCTTTTCTCAAAAGGGAGATCGAATGTTTTATATGGGTAAAGGAATTAATGAATTTGATTTACTTTCTGAGGGGTCAAAGCCATATAGTTACCATTTCGAATTGATTTATGAAATTACACAATAAAAGTATGGACATTTCAAAAGACTTAGAATCTCGAGCGCCTACTCTTCTTCTTCAGGAGTAAAAATTATTGCCCGGCATGGCCAGGTGGATAAGGCG